TAAAAAGTTGTACCAAATATGTAAATGATATTTTAATATCTTATGTATAATTTTATTTATATACAATTGTGATTAGACGGAAAAAACACGAATAATTAAATTTTAATTCACAATATGACGCAATTATATCAACTCCCTAAAAAACTTTTCAATAAGAAACCTATATCCATTTCTCTTCTCGCGCATGCGCTATAGATGCCCCGCTCATTTCATTACTACGAGTTATTTTCACGGTGCGCATAACATAGACGATAGCCTCTGTCCGTATTTTTCATTTCTAGAGCCGATAAATCGATTCTGACAAAATATGGCATTATGCTATTACAGGCCATCCGACATTTAACTTCTGGAAATCGGTGAGAACAAAATGGCGGATGGACGAAGTCCACTCTGGCCAATAAAAGGACCTGATATGACGATGGTAACGGTTAAAATTTATGCTCGTGATTCTTATTGATAATAATGATCAAAACAACGCGAATGAGCTGCAGTTCTTTTGTTAACGTCATCGTCTAAGCTGATCAGAACAGCTGGGAGCTCTGGCCATGCCAAAGTACAGAGAGCGCTGACTTCACACGTCTTACCTACATTCTGACCTATGATTCTTCGTGTGCACGTGTGTCCATATCTTCCTATCTGTTTGTACATTTTTAACTGCATTTTGCATCAATGCATACATCATCTGAAGTGGTTGGATTATGTGCAAAATTCTATATTTGTATCTGAAAGATACTCGGTTCCAATCTTAGCCGGGTCACCGTCTATGATGACCCATTTTCTTCACCAACATTCCTGATCCTCTCCCAACGAATACATAAATATTACAGCCAAATTCTTCCCCTACTCACCTTTAATAATCATCCTCCAATCGTATTCAATATTATATAAAGTACGTATTTTAAACAACGCAGATAAATATCCTAGAAATTATTACTTCTATCCAATAAGTCTTTTGAAAAGTTGCAGTAAAATAACCATCAGTCGCATGACAGCATTTTTCGAAGTGGTAAATTTCTTGGTATTACCACTCACATCGAATACATCATCAGTAAACTAAAATACAATGAAAATATACGAGTCGATTTCTTTATCTCTCTGATCTACGTAATTCTACGTAACACAGTCGTTCTCACTTACCACCCAGTTTGGCGTACGTCCATCCGTCATAACGTCCAAGTATTCGTTAATAGTTCTGCTGAAATCTTCAGCTGTTGACAATTTATTTATGTCTGTAATTAACCGGAAGTTAAAGGGGAAATGTCCGCCTGGAGCATCATCCGTTCCATAATAGCCCATCGTCTGGTTAATAGTTCCGTATGTTTCCAGCATTAACACCCTGTACCAAACAGTTACAGTTAAAATTCTATATAATACATCAGTTAAACCTTGTATTTATTTTAAATTAATGTATAATAGAGAACAACATAACTTTTGATTGAAATATAACAAAAATTGGTCGTTCTCTTACTTTGTCCGTCCATATTCGACGCTTTTCTCGTCCATTACTTTCCGCCACTCGGCCACCATCTCGTAGGTCTCTGGGAGATGCGTAGGGGCTGACGTCTCCGAATCAGGCGCGTCTATGGGTCCTTCGAACAGGTGCGGAACGGCATCAACGCGGAACCCGTCCACGCCCTTGTCCAGCCAGTAACGGAGCACATTCTGTACAAGATCAGCTGTTACACGTCTGAAGTCGAGTGATAGCCCATTCATCTACTCAGAGCATCCGTTTCGACATAATCCTTTACAGATTTAAAGTCTGTAGTAAATCTTACAGCCTTGAAAATCCAAACTTGAATTTTTATTAAATTTATTCAATTAAAACAAGTAAGTCATATTCTATAACGGAGAGACTGGTTATAGATTAAACAATGACAAGCTGCCTAATAACAGATTAAACATAGCAATATAAAATAATCAAACAAACAAACAAACAAACTATTCACACTATAAAAAAGAAATCATCATCAGTGGCAACAGGGAAATTAATTAATTTAATCAAAATAGTTTAAAATTGGTTTAAAAAAATGGTTTAGAAAACAAATCATGAAATATGAAATATGTTTAATAAACATAGCAAGTTATGAAAAAAAAGATAAACTATAAAATTAAGATAAAAATAAAAATAGGCAACAAACTAGATTTTCTGAAAGAGTTTCGTTGACGACAGGCGTCGTCGTAGGCCATGCTCCTGACGAAGCCTGTTTCGGGAACTTCGTCTTCCCCTACACTCTCCCTATTCTTCTCTGTTAGCTCTCATAGCTCGGCTTACATACATACTTCGTCAACAGATAGGACCTGAGCATGCCCATTCCTCCCTCCGTCCCCTCCCTGATCGTTTCGAGTGTCATCTTCGCTACCTTCAACCAATTAAGATTTTACTGACGCACTCAAATCAGCATGACGATCGAGTATATAAACGCGGTGATGGACCAATGAAATTCTTTCTTTAATTCGCTTCTTGTCGAGTCTTTGGCGTGACATTAAGAAATGTGCTCACGAAACGTTAAAATATGGGAATTGTAGGACAGGATTTCCGTATCCCTGTTGAAGTGTATTTAATACTTCACACTGATAAATACGATTCAATAACAAGATTAAAATTAATAATCTTTAAGTAGGTTGAACATTGTCCACTGCCTGAAGTGTTTTTAGCTCAAATGAACAGATCTTGAACCCATTATTCAATCAAGAGATCGATATTTTGATTACCAAACATGTGATAAGTCTCTCTACGGCACGCAGCCTTGGACGATTACATATTGAAACATTTATTGACAGTTTATCGACTGGATGTGTTATCATCCAGTGATAATCTGATCATGAATGACAAATTCAAATACGTCGTGAAAGGAACATGTCCCGGCCTGTTTTTTAAAGTAGATTCCTGGGGATGAAATTGCTTCTCAAACAGCGCTCTGCGCCCTGAACTTCCTTCGTTAGTTGGTTGTTTGGTTAGTCCCTTGTAGTTTTTCCTTAAGGAATGAAGGAAACCACGTTTGGACCTCGTCATTGAGGATCTTTCTCGCTCTCCTGCTACATGCCCAGTCCATCTCATGCCCCTTGATTTGAAAACCTCCGCTACAAAGTTCCTCATCACATAATTATCTCAATTCTCCAGTGACCTCGTCTATTTTAAGTCCAAAATTCTTCTCATTACTTCCTTCTTAAATAAATTTATGGACACTTGAAAAAAACGTGTAAATTTGTAGTTATTTGTATTTTAATGTTTAAAAATTTAGATTGGGTATAAGAAGGTAAAGGATTCTTAAGTGGATGTCAGGAGACATCACACCCAAATTAGGACGTTGGAGAGACGATAAATTAATACGTTTTAGTCACAAAGATTGATGAGAAGGGTCATTTGAAAAATCTATGTGTAGATGTCGGGATAATATTAAAATTGTACCTCATAAATAGGATGTAAACGTGTGGGTTAGATCAGAGGTTCGCCAGTGATTATCTGGCTTCATTTACTTAATCGCGGTATGACAATGATTATAAAAAAATATGAAAAAGTTAATAAAATCTCATGAACAAACAGGACTGAAATGACACGATACTTGAGGACTGAATTAAAAATTCGTTCTTCCTTTTTTTCAATTTTTTTCGTACGCGTCATTGTGTGGCCTCATTTTTAAACGTGACTGTACTCAATTGCAATTATTTCACAAAGAATTTATACAATCAAACCAGAAAGTGCCGCTTAGTCGGTTAATGCACAGAATACATTGCATTGGCACTTTATTTCCATACCAAGAGCTCGAAAGAAGACCAGCAAGAGACTTTACCGAGTCGCGTGACGTAAAAATTTGCATGTACTGAAAATTGACACTGCAATTCTTGTAACAAGAGGCACATAATGAATATGGGCGGAGGCAGCAAGGACCTCTGAAACGTCGGTGAACACGGCGCAACAACCTAGAGGACAGCCATGTTCAGACTCACCGCCGTGAAAACCTCAAATCTTACGTAACTAACCTAACCCGCCACTGCAGCGCTCTGGTCCGCTAGGGCGAAGGGCCCCGAGTACCCACCTTCATTTCCTCGACAACAAGCGGGTTTCCATAGTTGAGGTCGGGTTGTTTGGGGTCGAACTGGTGCAGGTAATACTGGTTTCTTTCCGGACGCCATGTCCAGGCCGGACCCCCAAACACGCTTTGCTGGAAGACACAAACACATGGCGTTAACACTGCAGCCAACGTGATAAATATCTTATGAAAGGTTACTATCTTGCTTTAGCTTAGTGTTATAAGTTGGTACAATAAATCGTAATCAAACATTTCTCGAGTAAATTATTACTTGTAGGTTGGATGCAATCGTTATAATTTTTTTTTTAAGTTTAATATTATCACCATCAACTACTACGGATTAGGCCTTGTGACTTGTTCCAACTCAGAATTACTTCTGAAATTATGAATCAGTTTGGATATTTGACAGGACTCCTTTGGACGATTTATCAGCCAGTCTCAAGGACTCCTGTCTGCACAGGACAGCGCAAGGCAGTAAGGCGAGGACACACGTCAACGCCTTGAACATATCCCGGTATCCACGTGGTCACTTAGATAAGCATTTTAATATAATTATAAATATTTTGCATTTTAATCAAGTCTGACTTCTAATTCCCAATGTCTTCAGTAATAAAACTGATTTGAGGAATCTGCTACTGTATTTGCGTATACAGAAACGACTTATCGTTTTAACAAATGCAGTTTAAATTATGAATGGATGGCTGTTTAGCGTAAACGTGTTACTCGTTATTTAATCGATTTTATTATTCAACTAGTATGTAGAATCGTTAATTATTAAGTAAATGGGACTACTTTGTCGCAAGATGGACTAACATTGTTACGTATTACATTTAATAAAAGATGTTCTGCATCGGGGCGCCATCTTGCATACTCCCAGGACTTACCCAGTTGTTTGGCGGAATCCTGTTTCCAGCCGTGTCGACTCTCCCGTCGTGCCACGTGTAATAGTTCGTAAATGGTTCCTCCCTCTGGAGGGACCTCACGAACCATTCGTGTTCGTCACTGGAGTGGTTAGGTACGAAGTCCAAAATCACTCTAATGTCTGCAACGATTATGAATTAATTTAAACGTAAACCATTTCGAAATTTTGAAGCATTTAACTATTGTGAAACAGCAAATTCTTTGTACTTTTGATGCAAAATCCTCTTGAAATTGCATCTGCCTTTAACTTCATCGTGAACGTATTTTTTATTTATTTCTGTTCTCGAACTCTGATACATTTTACGATTTATTATTTATATATTATGATTTAGTGCTGCGCTCTGCTGGCGACACATAAAATCATGCTTCGTTCTCTCTGATTTTTTCTCTATATCAGCCTGTTTACACTCATCTTAGGGAGTTACTTTATCTTTTCTTTGTGGCATTTATGTAATAGACATTTTTACTAGTATTAGCCCCCAAAACAAGCCGATAGAAAATATAGTGTGGGATGCAATTAGATGTCACCTGAAAAATAAACGAATGTCATCGGGCTCCTATATTTAAACCCACCGAACGTTATTTGTAAACTTGGAAAGCTTTCTAACATTTCAAAAAAAAAATTCGAACAAGGACTAATTTATAGTTTATAGTTTAGATGCGTCATGTTTGTGTTAAAATTCAGTATATATTTATTTATTATTTCAGTCTATACACAGACTTAGTTTTTTTAAAATGTTGTTGTTAAAAACAAAAGACCTGAAGATGATGCAATAGCATCGAAACATGTCGTAAAATAATAAGCGCTGAAATTGTAACATCGAAATAACGATGAAAAGCGCTAAATTTTAATTTTAACAACAACATTTTAAAAAACTAAGTTTGTGTATAGACTGAAATAATAAATAAATATATACTATAATAAATTTGTAAATATCTATAAAAATAAGTCAAATTACGTATTCGAAACGAGTGTATTTGCGTCAGGAAGTTAAATATTAGGTCACATCTTCTTAACAGCCAATCACGTTCATATTTCTTTAAACTATTTCTCGTAATTAAATTTCAACTACTAGGTAAGTTATAGATCAGACGTGCATGAAGATCTACAAAAAGAAGTTTGACTGCACAGACATTCCGCAAATTACAGTGATCAGTAAACTATATGTGTCGGCAGTCTTTGTACTGATAATTGCCTAACACCGAGAAACGCATTCTTTCTTACGACGACCGTTAGTGGTTCAGACAGTATATAAAATCAACATGATTTATGTACCCCGGTAGATCATTTCATTTTTTAACGACAGGTGACCACTTGACCTCAACCTGAACCAGTTAAATCCAATCCAAATTCTAACATCCTATTTAAGACTCATTTTAATATTATCCTACCACCTCCAAGAAGGTGTCAATGGCATACAGAACGTAGCCAGAGACTGTACAAAATGATTGGTTCTTAGCTATAGCTGAGAAATGGGTGTGAGTTGTTTAATATCTTCAGAGGCAGATAAGTTTAAAATAAATTTAAGAGAAAGAGAGGGGAAGAGAATGTGTGTGTCTCGTACACAATTTCTCACTGCCAGATTTTATAAAAAGATTTTCAATAGATTATCCATTATCATACATAGGCGATATATTGCAAAGCCGCTGTGATTTTCAGTTTAAGAAAACATAGATTTAAAGGAAGGCCGAAACGTCTTCTTGTGAGGCTAACAGACATCTCGTAAGAGAAAATCCCTGTATTTCGTAAAGAGTTCAATCTTGAAATAAATTAAAACGCTGTCTGCACTCACCAACCATTTCATTATCGGATATATGACCGGAGCAGTTGCAACGGATAATTACGTATGAAAGAAACAAACCCAGCCCGGAACTCTTGTGAAATTGACTGTGCTTGTTAATAAAGTGTTTGTCACTAATGACTAGCTCTTGTCAATTCATCACTGTTAGTTTACACAGTCAGAGAAATGTAAATTAAATTTAAAATAAAAGTAATAAAATTAAAACCGAAGTGAAACTGTGGATGAATTGTTAACCCTTTGAAGCCGAAGATCGTCTGAATATTATTTATGAATTCAGTCCGTACCGCGAAGAAAACACTACACCTCACCATTACGAAAATCAGCTGGTTAACCCTTTGAAGCCGAAGCTCGTCTTCATAATATTTACGAATCCAGACCGTACCGCGAAGAAAACACTTCACTTAACCATTAGAAGTCGAATCAGGCGGTACCACATAAGATTTAACAAAAGAACATCCCGGTCGAAGCCTTAATAGGGAGACGCCAAACGTCCATAACTCACGCATGTCAACGTCCATCTACTGTTAACACACTTCGATACAAAATATCGGCAAAATTGTTTTATTTTTACACAGACTCAAACACGAAAATCGCAAATTTCCATCCTATTACAAAAGACTGTTAAGACTTATTTCTACAGTCCGATATGAACGAACACAGCAGCGCAGTAGTCGGAACTTCTGTCTGACTGCACTATCGGGAAAACAATCAAATCAGAATTACCTTGCCGGCGACCAGAACACGTGTTTGAGAGGATCAAACTAGATTTTCTAGGAAACAAAGTAAAGGCTAGGTCGTCGGAGAGTTGTGTAAGGAATGTTCATGTTCTATTTCCCCGTGAATCAAGTACCGAAGCTGAATATAAAATACCTTGGCTCTTGTTTGGCAAGCGACGCCCCAAACGAGCATCAAAATTTCTATAGACAGAATCGGCTCCAGACGTTTCGAACGCACTGTCCCCTTCGACCTTGCCACAGACGGCGGTAACTTTTCAGTTGATATTAACGGGATAACGTGTTGAAATATACGGGCTGCTATCTCCCTAATTTATGTGAGGTTTCATAATATTAGTGAAAATGAAGTCTACTGATATCTCATAACAGTTGAAGCCATTCGTGGACTTTGAACAGTGGAAATTAGAACACTACTATGAGACCAAAAATTAAAACCAGCACACCGGAATATCAAGACGTCAAATATATACTTTAGAAGGACCACAGCATATTTAAATTATATTCACTAAGAAGTCAGAGCATGACGTACATACAGAACAACTTCGAATGCGATATTAAAAAATACAATAAAAATCTGGAAGAAAACATCATTTAAAATTTGAAATCTGATAAACATCTGACTAAAAAGTTGCATTTAAGAAATTATATTTAAGTTTATATAATTTTATACACCTGAAGATGGTTCTTTTAGAACTGAAACATGTCGTGTAAAAAAGTGATGATCTAATGTAAATCGAACATTTCGATAGAGAACATCATTTAATATATTTTAAATATTTAAATGTTAATTATAGTAATATTTTAATATTTAATAGGAATTTTATTGTGATTAGACTGACAAGATTTAAACAAATATATATTTATCACAATATGACGCAACTTTATCATCTCATGCAAAAACAATTCAAAAACCTGTATTACCCTGTCAACAACAGGTTCGAATATTAAATCTGTGTCTTGTAATCATTACAGTCTGCAAAATAAAGCCAAGAAATTGTATCATTCAACGCCAACTGGTCTGTGTCGCGAGTAACGTTGATCAGGAGCACACGACACGCGATCCGTCCGCCATCAGTAACAGTGTCGACCAGTTTAAAGTCTACGAACACAATTTTGGTTTTGCTGAACCCACATTTTCACAGCTATCATCCTCATGTGGACTACGTCCTTTTAGCCACCAACCACACAGCGTGCTGTGTCGTTTCGAGGTATAAAGTAATCCACCTAATACGTTTCCTCCGCGCTCCGTTCTTGGAGGCGTTCAGTGTGGAACATAAGCCGACTCTAAATATAAATGTAGGTCATCATCGAACGGCTACTTCAAAAAGAATCACTCATCTAAATACGCACTCTCATACCAAATGTCGTGGTCGAATGGTTAGCACTCCTGCTTCGTATTCGAGATATACAAGGATAAAATCTCGATACGCTAACAGCCTATACTGAATGAGGTTTCTTGTGGTTTCCCTCAGTCCCTCCAGGTAAATACCGGCCACGACCGCTTCCTCCCACATCCTTTACAATTCATTATTCACTGTCATCCTCTCATTCGACGCTTTACAGTAATCAAATAAACCATAATTAAATAAATAACCACTCCCGTCTTGCTTGGAAACTACGCGAATTTATTAAAATAAGAACTCAAAACTCGACACTTTCATTCCTATAACGCGGTAAACGTTTCGTAAGACGCAGAGTACTGCATTTTCGGACCATAAAAGTCAAGACATGTAAAACTCGGGAAAGATTCGTGTTCACGTGAACAGACAATTCTTTCACAGCATTTCAATCTCGGACTCTGTTGACAGGGCGGTACAATTTTTATATTATACATAATTCATGAAACGTCCTAACGTTTATAAATACAGATCCTCGTAAACTTTGTGAGATGAATTTACTCTCTCATGTCAATCCCCTGAGTGTTCGTGTTCGAAAGTCCAACCGCATGTTACGCCACGCGTATTACCGTCGTCATGGAGTAAGACCGTGGCCACTGTCCAACCTCCAGATGACACGCGGGTGAATACAGAGTAGGGGCGAAGTAACTAATCGCAGGAGAAACGAAGGACTTGGAGAAAAACCCATCCCAGCGATACTTTGACCACCACAAATCCCACACGAATTGTTCTGGGTTCCACCACGGACATCCGTGATGAGAAGATGGCGACAGGACCGTCTGTGCCATTACACGCCTCAAGAAATATGATTTATGTTAGCTTTGGCGTCACATCGTATGAACTCAAAATTAATCCTACTCGGGACAGAATCAAATGGCGAACTCTTGTGAACACGGCAATCACTAACTGATCCACAAAAAAGGGGAATTTTCTGACAAACATAAGCTACTATTAGCTTCTGAAGCTAAACCAATCACTCGACAGTTGTTACCGAAAACACGCCTTGGAAATTTCATAAATAATGTCACATTTAATCAGGCAAACTACGTAATATGATGAATTCAATTACAACAGCGCAGTTCCGTCCAGCCCCTCTACACCCATGACGTAATTAAACAGGCGGTCGCCTCCTTCTCACATTCCGTGGCCCACTATTGACTATCTGGACCTTCAGTTCGCAATCAGTTTTCAATATGGCTGA